TCAAAAAGAAGCGGCCAGCAGGGCCCCCGGAGCCAGTGAACGGTGAACTGAATCACATAGCTGAGGCTGATGGTCCGCAGAAGCCAACGAGACGGGTTGGGTAGCGCTAGCCAGGCACCCAGACACCGTGCAAACGGGACCAGCGGAACCACCACAGTACTCGCAGTGGGGCAGCGAGGTGGAACGCAGGGACCCAACTTGGGCGGCTTGTGAGCAGACCGGAGAGGGGTCTGAGTGTGCGGTGCAACGCTTACCTGGTTCCACAGGTTGGCAGAGGGTGCGTGAGTAGGGTCTTTGTTGACACTCTCGAATCGCCCGCTGCTGCCGGCTGGCGGAGGAGGATGAGTGAGGTCCGGTGTTGGGCCGTCCTCGACTCTGCGTGCCCTCCTGGGACCCAGAGATAGAGAAAAATGCTCTCTCATTGAGATTTTCCAGATTCTCCACCCGACCCTCCTCCGGGGGAGGGAGAGGTGCCTTCACCATCCCCCAAAGAGCAGCTTCCTCCCTCTCTGGGTCACCCATCCCGGGGCCTCTTGCTCATAGCTGAGGCTGATGGTCCGCAGAAGCCAACGAGACGGGTTGGGTAGCGCTAGCCAGGCACCCAGACACCGTGCAAACGGGACCAGCGGAACCACCACAGTACTCGCAGTGGGGCAGCGAGGTGGAACGCAGGGACCCAACTTGGGCGGCTTGTGAGCAGACCGGAGAGGGGTCTGAGTGTGCGGTGCAACGCTTACCTGGTTCCACAGGTTGGCAGAGGGTGCGTGAGTAGGGTCTTTGTTGACACTCTCGAATCGCCCGCTGCTGCCGGCTGGCGGAGTAGGATGAGTGAGGTCCGGTGTTGGGCCGTCCTCGACTCTGCGTGCCCTCCTGGGACCCAGAGATAGAGAAAAATGCTCTCTCATTGAGATTTTCCAGATTCTCCACCCGACCCTCCTCCGGGGGAGGGAGAGGTGCCTTCACCATCCCCCAAAGAGCAGCTTCCTCCCTCTCTGGGTCACCCATCCCGGGGCCTCTTGCTCTTTCACTCACCACCAGGTTTGAAGGGGGCCTGGACAGGTGGGGCGACCTGCCTACGCCCAGCTCCACAGTGCCGCTTGCTGGTGGCTGCTGTGGATGCGGCGCGGGAGCAGGGGTGGACGCAGGAGTCCGCCCTCGGCGACAAGCAGGCTGGGGTGCTGCGGCCGGCGGACGGGTGGAGGCAGCAGCTGCCCGCCGGGGCAGGGTGTGCGCCTGAGTCTGCTTCTGTGCAGCCAAGAGCTGCTGGGTCAAGCTCTCGACCGCGTCGCAGAAGAGGCCGGTCTGGGACACAGGGGCATTAAGGAAACGAACTTTGTCGGCATCCCTCATATCAACGCCACAGATGGTGCTCCTTGATCACAAGTGTGGACTTCGCACTACCCAGAGAACTCGCGGTGACCTTCGTCGCTCGGAGCACGAGGTCAGTAGCGGTTCGGAGCTCTTTCAGAACTTCCGGATCATGACCCCCCTCGTGCAGGTCCCTCAGTGCCTTGGCCTGATGAACCTGCAGTAACGCTGTAGCGTGTAAGGCGGAGGCAGCTTCTCCACAGGCCGTAAAAGTATCGCCGGACAGGCCAGACGAGTACCTACAGACCCGGGAGGGGAGGCATTGTTCGCCCTGCCGGGTGGAGGCGGTATTAGGACACAACACAAATCCACCGGGGGGACCCTTGTATACCCCCTATCTGCACCACCGTCGAGGGTGGTGAGGCAGGAGGAACCAGCAGGTCAGATTCCGGCAGTAAAAGGTGCCGTCCATGACCTGGTGAGCTCCTCATGCACCTCCGGGAAGAAGTTGCTGAGAACCAGCGTGAGCCACCTCGAGAAACCAATCATCCAACCTCGATGGCTCGGGACGCGGTGGAGGTTTCCACTTGAGCCCTACCCTCTCGGCGACCCGGGAAAGCATAGCCGACATCTCTGGATCTGATTCAGGCCCTGCCACCGTCCCGGAGGGCGGCAGCTCAGCCGAATCTTCTTCTCCAGAGAGCTCTCCCTCCGATGCAGTGATCGACATCCGGTCGTCGGGAGGAGCACCGAAGGATACTGCTGGTACGCTCTTTAAAGAGGGCCCAGCACGTTCCTTTGGCGGCTTAACTGGTTGCGAAGCGCTAGAGGAGCTATGGTCCCCCGAGGGTTAGTTCCCTGAGGGGTTTGCCACCACTGTAACCCTCAGACCCCCCGTGCTATTGCCCGAAGTAGTCCACGCCTGGCTGCCGCCAGGATGAATACTAGATAGTGGCAGTGGCAACGGAGCTCTGCCCCCCTGGAGGAAACGGAGCTGCGGGCCAGGCTCCAGGGGGGGCGGAGCTCCGAGATGTTCATCTTCC